GCTAGTGCCTTGATGAATGCGAAAGCAGTGGAAGTCGCCTGCCCGTCGTATCCGGGAGGTGGACGCCCGAATCCGTGGAGAGCGGAGGGGATTGTCTGATTTACTCGAATCCGTGTAGAGCGGAGGGGTAATTCAACTTCACTGTCTCCTGGAAAGGATCCCATGTACCGTCGTATCCGGGGGTGTGAAGGTTTCCAGTTACAGCCATGCCGTCGTATCCGGAAGGTTGTTGTATGTACATAGGAGGTTTGCGATAGGGCTGGGTAGGGGGTTTAGGCTTTGAATTCTGTGCATACTGATTTTGATACTGTTTGAAACTGAAAATGCTTTTTAAATAGTTATACGAGATAACCGTGCGATAAAGGTGAGCTAGTTGGTTGCTCACCCCCATTATTTTTCTTGTTGGTTTCTCTCTTACTTTGTTTTAGGTTGAGACGAGCTGGAGGCGGTGGCGTAGGACGAGCGAGATGGTGGTCACTGTTTGATGATATATTGTGCTTCCACCTGTTTATGATTTGTTGAACTGGAACTTGACTTGAATTATTTTCTCGCTTGGATTTGGATATTTTATTATGTGTTTATGTCCCTGCTTGATTTCGTATACTGATTATGTGTTCCGCATGAACTTGTTATTTAACTATTTGCTATCGTACTTTGGATTATTTATTTCGTCATTTTTGAACTATGTTGAATATCGTTTGAACCTTGATTTCATGCTAATAGTTTGGGAATGATTTCGAAACTTATGATTTATGAGATTTTCATTTTCATAGCTCGAGCATGTGTAGGTTCATTTGATGGTTTGATTGAGTGTGGTTGTTTGTTGTGGTTAATAAGTAGCGCCCGTTTCTCGATAAATGTTTTAAATTGGGATTTTGAGAAAAATAAACTCTGATTTTTATAAATAAATTCGGTAAATTCTTTAAAATAAAACGGGGCGTTACAAGAACAATGTCTAGATCAAACCTCCCTTGGAATCACACAGAAAACCGAGGGGGTACGAACAGACGAGAAACAAAAACTCCAAACTGGAGACTACACAAAACTCTAAAAAGAAGACTAACATGCATGGAAACAAGTTTTCTAAAATAAAAAACAATCATTTTTAACCATCATTTTTTAACTCAAATCTTACTCAACTCTAACGTAACTCCACTATCATCAATATTATCAATACAATTAAACAATATCCATAAATCATTTTTAAACATTACATCAAAATTAATTCACTATTTATCCACTCACATAATTTTAACTAACCATCACTTCACATAATTTCTCTCATACTTTTACATCAAATCAACTTTAATTTATTTTATTTTAAAAATAATTTTAATATAAACTCAAAATTCTACTAACAACTAACCTTACCACATTTTTCAGAATTAACCAACAAAACTAAAACGTCCAAACAAAACATAAAATTCTTATATCCAAGCATCCCATAAGAAACTCTACATATATAGATAATAT